CTACGACCACCGATGCCTGATTCCGCACCAGAGGAATACAAAAAACTTGCCGAGCGGTGTTGTGATGCTGATCCTGATAAGCGTCCACTTTTGATTGATATTAACAAGATTATTCTCAAAGTGCTCAATGGCGATTATTATGATGACAACACGTGGAATGTCGTTTATCATAAATAATGACGCACAGCCCTTATCACGTCTCGAGAAATATTCTACCTATTGGAAATTTACGCGAGTGATGAACTCATTCCTCGAAGATCTATTTCATGATATTGCTGCATAGCCTTAACGCGTAACGATGCAAGTTCAACGGTATCCAACAACACAAATAAAACTTGCCATACACGAGTGTGCCATCTGTATGTGCCAAGATCACATCAACTGTGCGTAATAATAACGTTTGATTTGCCCCGTGCCTGAGCAGTACTAACTATAATAGCACCCATAATTCAATGATTTATTCCAATAGCTCGGATCAAAGAAGGCGATGCACTTGATGAACTGCACATCGAGCATACTCCTACTTTTGACATTGAGCGACTTCTCCAGTTATGCCCCGAACCCTCTGTCAATGCACACATTTTTAAAACAAGTTTCGAATGGCGTGCTCTGTCTTTATAAAGCAAATTCTCGTGCTTTAAATCTATAGATAAAGAAGAAGAGAATTAGCAAAGAACAAATAACCAACGCAAGAATTACCGTAATGTACAACGTGATTGTCGCTCTAATGTCATAGCCCATCCATAATGTAAGACGTCCGAAGCAATTTATTCAGGGTCTCTAAACTCATCTTCTGTACTTCTACTTTAGCATTACCTGAAGCAAGCGTTTCTGTCGGAATTATTCATCAAGGCTTAAAGAAGTTGCATTTGTATTTCTCTAACCCAACTTCGCTAGCATACATTGCCAAAGTTATAATGTCATCCATTGATCACAAGCTTGGGTGCTGGCTCTTATTATCAATTGAGATATCATGGAAAAGATGACCACGCGATAAAACTTAAAAGAATTTCGTTTAGAGATTTTATATGTATAAGATTTCGACGCTAACAACTAAACGTAGACGATGGCAAGACGGGAATAACTACGTTCAAAGATATAATATTCTAAATAACAAGAATGAAATGCTCAAATTTCGATTTTGACCTTTGCAGATAGTTTCAAATACATTATTATATTAATTGCACAGTTTTGTCAAGTAACATTACTAATAACTATATTATTGTTGCCCGATTTAAGTCTCTTGCATTACTAATAACTATATTTTTGTTGCCCGATTGCTTGTGTTTAAATAAAGTAGAATCGTAGCAATAAGTATTATTATCATTAAAGTTTTCTTTCAAGACACTGTATTCATATATAATACTTGTGATTACTACAATCTTGTTCAGACTTGGTAAAGATTGTAATTGATCACAATCGTATTGTCTCAAATCAACATCATTACTTCTTCCCTTCTTTCTAATGCGCAATTGTTACACTCTGATGACTTCAAACACTTCGTATTCATCAATCTTGAAAGTGCCCTCGAATTCTCTAAGACGCTCATCGTAAGCATTTTTCTTGTAATATCCACTTTTTGGATCGACCATTCCACCGATTCTCAACTCGCCCCCGCCAAGCCAGAAAAAACCACCTTTCAAGCCGCGGAGAAGTTTCTCAATGTTTATACAACTAAACGATTCGAGCAATACTCTACTCACTTTTGCAGTGGATACATCACGTTTGTCCTTGAATGCGAACAAGAAACTATCGTTCTTCCCGATATCACCTCTAGATGAATATCCACCAATGATCTCATTGGTCTCTCTTATGTTGGCAACAACAAACATAGACGAACACCAATCCTTTATAGGGAGACGAAAGCCCATATCGGTAGCACGATATAATAAGCGAAGTTTATAGGCAGTCGCCGAATCGTCCTCTATCCAGGACGTTATTAGACTGGCGTGTTGTCTGGTAATGAGCCGAGAAACCCAAGAAAAGCGCGGCGGTGCTAATTGAGACGCTTCTTGTGTTGAATTCGGTACTGGCTGGTTCTTGAAATAGGTCAAAATATTTTCTCTTAGAGGAGAATGAAACATCTGAGAAAATGGTTGGAGTCTCTCTGTAAACTGAGCATGAGAGAAATCAGAATATCGAATTAACGGAAGAATATTAGAGAGAGTATTTCCCAATGCATTGAAGTCTGCTTCACTCCATTCATCTGGCTTGTCATCTTGAATGCATTCGGTATTAGCTATCCCCCATTTAATGACACAGTTCCATATAACGACTTCCTCCATCACTATGTCGTCCATCTGTAATATTGCTATCAGAACGTCTTCATCCAGAGCCTCAAAGCCATCAGACTCGAAAACAAGTTTCGGATTCACTGAAACCAAATTTAGACAGTATTCTTGAAGCTTCGTGGCGGCCTGAAGATTAAATATTAGATTCAGAACTTTGTTCACTTGGTTGAAATAATCAATTCCATTTTCTATTGTAAAATCTTGAATGTGGAAGAACAATTCGTCCAGCGCCAATTCATCAGCTGTTGACAAAAGGTCGAATAAATCAATGTTTGCATTCATGTATACTTCGCCGGTGTATAAGTACCTGTCATACAACAATATTTATCATTCATCGTTTCCGATATATGAACTTTCCATCAATGGATGTAATAAATCGCAAGGAGCTGGGGACCTGGTAATGTACAAACTTATCAAACGGTTTGTCTAACCCACCTGAGAATAACATCAAGCACATCAACATTCGTCCCATATCTTTGAATTACGTATAGACCTTCATTCTCATCTTTCTTTCCCCATTTGCTCGATAAAGCAATTCTGAAGTATTGACATCGAGCGCGAAGAATTATGGAATGTGCATGACGATTTTGTCCATCACTGCATTTTATGACTACATCACAGTCATCATTTGAGTCAAGTAGCGTGCGCAAGTCGTCGAAGAGTGCAGTGTGGAAAGTTTTTGATATCATTAGAAAAGCTGCAAACAAACTGGACTGGCGTCGTACAGCAATTTACTGAACTTTTAATCATGTGACTTTAAAGTCTATAATAAACGAATAATAGTAGTTTTTAAACACAAAGGAGTTATTGTAGTAATTATTGCGAGTACTGCTTTCTGATACATCAGCAACATGCCGACAGACGATAACCACACCCAAACAACCAAGCTCTCAAATGTTCTCTGCATTTCTATATGACCCTTCATTTTTAACTCGTGCTTTTACATTCGCTCTTCTTAGTATCTATTTTTTCAACATGACTTTTCTCACTCTTCTTGATTCCATTCTTAATTCCATTCTTTTCGCCCACGCTCCACAAGTCCTTTGTATCGTTTAAGCAGCCTGGATCAAACACAAAATTAAACGCACTCTTATTTTTTGTATCACCATGCTCTCGATCACCGTTTGGCAGCCTTTTATCTCGTTTCTTGGATTTCGCCTTCTTGGTTTGGATTATATTTAACGGATGATAGGGCGTAGGAGAACCATCTTGGTAGTATAAGTAAGCCTGCAGTTCCCCATTTTCGAGTAATGCTTCGATTTCTTCATCGGATGTGGAAAAATAATCGTCTTCGATGAACCGAGATCTCGGAGCGAAAGGTGGAAGGGGTCGAGGAGGGTTGTTCGGCGTGAGGTTGGGATCGTTTGCAGTATAGCGGTTTCTACGTGGCGATCGGATAAAGAAAAAATGAACTTCAATGTTAAGATTGGGTAAACTTAACATGTTTCAACAGTAGTCAAGAATCATTCACACAATTGACTGCTATAAAATCACATTTTTTTGATTATGTACCTGGGCGTAACTGTACCTTTACCAGGCTTTTCTTTTTCATTTTCTTTTTCATTGCATGTTTCGGTATCTTTAGAGGTATCCGATATACTTCCATCTTGATTCTGTTGCATGGGTTTACGGCACTGAACTTTATCGAATCTACAAATACGCAAGCAAAACGTCTTAAAGCATATTTACAATAATGTTATAATAGAAACGCAAACATTTTAACACATTACGTGGTCTCCGTTGAGTAACTGTTGGTAGCGAAACATAAATGTCAATAATAAGAAGCCGTTGAAATCGAGCAATGTTGGAGATGCGAGTACTCACGAGCTGTCAGTTTGCGACATCAGTTTGGAATGTTCGCACGCAATTTACTAAAAGTTTTCGGACGACTAAGGAAGACACGTGGTAGACTTCTTAAAAGGGAGTGCACAAAATATGGCTTTGAGAACTAAGATCAAGTGTGGTTGTTGGCTTACGTGGAAATTTATAGAATCCAAACATCGATAAAAGTGCACTGGGCAATGAATAGCATCAAGCATAACCTCTGTTTTCACTACGCAAAATTCAACAACGCGTAAACTATTGATTTGGCGCAGCAAAAAATTTTGTACTACACACACGGTTATTACAAGTATGGTAATGCATGCTATTCTCCAACGTGAATGTATTAATGCTTTGTTGTCTTCCATCAATGATAGTGAAGTCAGAGGATCAATTGCGATAAATAAGCAAGCTCTGTTCGAGAAGAACTATTTAAAGGGTTACCACATCTTAGACTATGACATTTTCGTCTGCTATAGTTCACCATAGACAACACTCCCACCAAACACAGTCGCAATCACACGGGTATCTATGATATCTTTTTCGGGAATTTCCATAATATCGCGATCGATAACAACAAAGTCTGCGTATTTTCCCTTTGATATAGATCCAAGCTAACAAACGATAAATGAGAGATTATGAATCACAACGTGTACTCTATGAAATACCAACAAGATATTAACTAAGAGCTTACCATATCCTCCGCAAACCCAGCATATGCAGCATCGATAGTAAACCCACGTAATGCTTCTTCGCGAGTTAACGCTTGTTCCGGAAACCATCCTTGCTTCCCATGCGGCTAGAAGTAAGGTTCAAAGTAATGTCGATAATTTTGATTCAAAAGAGAAAGGGAAATTTCGTATCTTTGGAGACAGTTTGGTCAAACTCACCGAATTCCCATCTGTCCATTTTCGCGTTATAGCAGCGTAGAATCCAAGAAACGGATTCGCCGCTTCAACTGGAAAGTCGGATGAAAGGGGAAAGGCGGTAACTCTGCATGCATGTGTCGGGTAGCAATTGGATTAAAGGGTTAGTTTATGCTATTCTCGGCCAGCAAAGATTTCACTATGAAGCAAGCTGCACGTGTCATACATTACCCAGCGTCAAGGAAGGATCGCCAAGCATACGCGCCCTTGATTCTTTCTTTTCCTATTCTCTCTTCAGCGTATGACATATCGGATGTTGCTGTATTTCAACATGGTCAATTGTCCGTGCTCGATAAGCAAAGTGAAGATAAACTGATACAACCAGAAAGCAAACATTATATTTACCGTGTGTTGGTTGCATTGACGGTATGATGCCCAGCTTAGCTGCACGTTGGATGTCGTCTAGAGTCTTTAGAAAAGTAATATAAACTCTGTTATCTCTCTACTCTAACAGTCTTCTTTTTCGTTACTTATCGCGTTCGCTCCCAACAAACCGTAAACAAACAAACGATATATACCAAAATCTGGGCATGCTCTATCCTAAACCGCAGCTTCTCTCCGATTCGTCTCGTTTCCTTTTCCAAAATTTCGTCAGACACGTCATCTGCAGATGGCTTGCATTTTAACGCGAGTGTTTTGAATACTTTCTCATATGCGTCAAGGATTATCTTGTTTGCGCGATCGCCTATACAGTGAGTGTTTACTTGGAAGCCCTATGGTAAAAACAAAGCGAGAGCGATGTAGGATTATTGAAGCCATAGGAAGAATAAACCAAAATTGCCGGCAGCGTATTAGCAGATTTCCGAAAATAGTTAGGAAGGCTCACCTTGGACACCCATTTTTGAATGACGCTAGGGAGGTTGTCTGGGTTTGAAAGGAGGAGGCCTGTTTTCGTGGGATCATCTTTTGGAAATCATTGGTCAACACGTTGGATATATCTATATACCGAGTGTTAATGGTCGGAAAACATAGATTGGACGACCTTTGTCTACTTACCAGAGTAGGGCTCGAGCATGGCTGTAACAAAAATATCATTGCATTAAAAATAAACAATTGAAAACATCTCACCGTTATTACCAGCTGCTATTAGTTCTTCTCCTTTACTTTTTGCCGGTCTCCCCACTCTCTCCGTTCACTAAAAACCTACCAGCACCCCAGCTTCCAAGCGCTCCATCCATAAACAGCTTGACACTCCTCACTGTTAATCTACCTTCACCATATCCAATAATCATCTCAACCTTATCTCCACAGTACTCATTAATCTGTGGACTTTCAACCATGACGTAGCTGCGGATGTTGAAGTCGTCTGGGCTTCTAGCTACCACGCTGTTATAAGAAGACGGAGTAAGTTAATTTGTGAGAGAATGATCGAACCGGATGAAATAGATAGTATTAGTGTGAAAGAAACATACTCTTTGAAGAAAGAAATGTCATCAAGAGGTACTGATGCATCGTGCACACCTGTCAGACCCACAGAGTGCATGTGGGAAATGGCTGAACGCACGTGGGTCAACTTCTCTGTTTCGGACAGCGTCGGGGCCTTTCGGACTTTTAAGGTGAGCGGTAGTGTATAGGATCAAGGCGTTATGTGAGATAAAAATTATTCCATGAGATTGTTCCAACAGTAACACGCCGCACATTGTATAGTGATTCTACTAACTCGTCTCTTAACGTCTGTACCTTATCCCACTTCAAACGGCTTCATCCTGAATTATACATACCAACAAAGTCCATAGCGTTATCCACAAAGATGCCAGTCATTTCGTTCGTCTCTTTATCTCGCACAATTTCTCCACCCTCAATACATTCTGGCATATCAGATAAAATCTTCAACACTTTTTCATTAGTCCAGATAACGTGGCCGTCGATACGAGTTAGGAGCATATAACACGTAAACGGAGTACCGAGATCAGAGAGATCTTTCTGATGTTCGCATTATGGACGTATTTACGGAAAGTAGGAAAGGTGAATGGGGATCAACAATATTTAAAGGATGGGCGGTACGAATGGCGAGTGAATATTATATGTGAGTTGTTACCCAATGAGGAAATTCCTTCGATTCCCAATGCATTTGATCCCATCCAAAACCGCGAATCCAGCTAGATTCATTTAAATTGTCTTTATGAGATAAGATGTATGCTTTTATCCGCGATCTAGCTTCTGTAGACGATTAATTGTTATGTCGGGATATACAAGAAAGTGAATAAATAAAGCGTAAATATGATTTTAATTGGAATTGGATTCGATCTAATTGTCACATATCATTATATTCTTTGCTCAGCTACCACTTGCCTTCGATCGATTTGGTTCCCGTGAGGTCTACAGAGTTCAACAACTGCCCGAGATACATTATGTGCTAGCAAGGAATAACCGTAGAGAAATTCTGCATAAAAAAGTCGCCTTTTGAATAAATTATATCATACCGTAATACTCACTACATGCGCATCAATTATGCCTGGTAGAATTGTCTTTCCACCAGCGTCTATTCTCTGTATAAATTACGTCAATTAATTATAGATGATAATAATTCTTATTATTAAATTCACTTCGTCACAGTACCTTGTCTACCAATTTCCACTTGTCCATAATTTCGTCCTTTGTTCCTACATCCAGAAACATGCCATCTCTGACAACAAAAGCGTCAGCTCTCTGCTTGTTATCATAATCCACGGTATACACATTCGCATTATAGACTACATATGTGTTTTCGGACGTTTCTGAGGTATTACTGAAAACAACGAGGGTAGAAGCAAGTCATATTGAGTATATTGTATGTACGTACTAGTACACTATTTAATTGGTAAGCTAATAAAGAGTGATAAAGTGACAAACAGTTTATTTTCAAAATCACAGTCGAACGCAGATGATAATTATCCATCATTGTTCTTTTTTTATGTCTATTTTTAGGGCCTATCACATCGTGCGTTTGAGATTCGATTTAATTTAATGCGTCAATTTAAATGCAATCATTCTACTTCAAACCGCATTCTACCTCACAGCATTCAGATTTTATCAATTGAAACAACATATTACGGTTAACTTACTCCATTATCAAGCAAAATAATTTGTTCAACTTGCGTAGCAGACGAAGCTGTCATGTTTATTGTTTTGTGTATCATGGAAAGATTTCAGGGTGCAGATTAAGATCTATAGATCCTCCCACAACCAGTAACAATTCGTGGTAATCCCTGTTTACTTATTATTTATCAGTTTATAAAGTACAATATGTTGTATTAAAAAAATGTTGATGTAGAATAATAACTTGCGGTCCCAATGCCGAACAAGTGATGCAGATTTAACCGTGATTATATGACAATAATTGTGTCTGAAATAATATTCATGTTGAATAAAGTTTAAACTCGAGCATATTCTCATACGCATGCTCTATTATCATCATATTGCGAAAAACCTAAAAACATTTATGATATTAAACGCTAAGTTTTGTAGATAATAAATAATGGGGGCATTGATTTCTATCATGCGAGAACGATTTATTTCTATAGAGACATACTCTAAACAGTCATGCAAAATCTTCCATCTGATTAACTCTGGATCCGTCTGTTAAACGCCTGTATTAATATTAATACCAATATTAATAACCATCTGTTTATTAGAATAATATGACAATGGTGTTTTATATCGCCGATGACCCGAAATTCGAAAAGAAAATTCTCCAAAGCTTTCAAACCACAGTCCACTTATTAGTCTTGAACAATGATTACCAATGACCGATTTTTTTTAAAACAATAATGTGAAAATTTTCCTTTCCCGACAATTTGAATAAATCGCGTTTCATATAGCCTAAATATAACGTGGGAAGTCCAATAGTTTAGTCCAAGCAGTCTATGTGCTGCACGTCGACATGTTTACCCCATGCGATAAATTAAAATAGATAATTCCGTATTATTAGTAAAGAGAGCCTCTGAAACAAAAGAATTAATTCAAATGAAACAAGCCACTCATGGATGATTTTTTGAATCGTGTATAGATTAGCCGATTATGAAGCACGTGGTAAATGTGATGTAACACGATAAATGCTGAGAATGTTGAATATTTCTTATTCAAACGATGTCGTTAGCATCAGGGGCTGATAATCCAGCGATTGACAACTTGGTTCAATCCTCCTTGGAAGGTGAACATGACTTAAGACTTGAATGGATTCATTACAAGGAAATCGTCATCATAAAGCCAACTCAATTTGACAACGTCCACTATGCTCGTCGTTACAACGTTAACATAATACTGGTAGTCCTTGGAAGTAGCGGAGAATGTACACCAACGTTTGTGAGTGAGTTTGCCAGATTGTACTCACTTCCAACACACAAGTACAATAATAATGACAATAACTTCAGACGATATTCCATATGGCTTGAGGGTCGCAACAACATGATAAAAGGATTTACCAAGTGTGATGGTTACTATTACATGGTCGCTGATAGAGACTTTTACCATTGTTACTCCCGATATGGATTCTGCTCCGCATGCGGAATACTCCGATGCAGTCCCGTGTGGTGCATCTGTGGTCATAAACAATTGTCCGATGGATGGACTAGCAACAATAAGCAACTCGATAAGTTTATTAAGAAATCTCAATTACAAACAAACTCTGCAAATGAGCACTATATGGAATGGATTCCATTTGATTGTATTGGTGATAGGGGATGGAGATGGTATGACGTACGCTTGTATGGTCTACCTGCATCAATTGATGTACGTGTTAAATTGATTTCACTTGAAATTACTGATGAGACACATGATTTATATTATGCCGAGGTAAACTATTTATTATGCGCCATGATTATTGAATAGTTTAAATAATTATTGACCTATTATTGACTTATTACTTCCACTAGTTATGTGACAAGTATCCAGATATTCTTACCACGGATGTTTGGATTACCATCGGATTCACATATGATGCAAGTAAACCGAAGTATTGTCTAATAAAATCTGTATATACGGATGGATTATGTCTGGCGTGCGCACGAGCGTTTGAACCCAAGATAAAAGCATTCTGTTATCGATGTAAAGCACCAAGACCTCTTGATTGGACTATGGACAACAAGGCATTGGATTCATTTATTATGGAATCATGGAAGAATACAAGTAACAAAGATGATGCCTATATACACTGGATTGAATATTCTCTATTGACAAACATACAAGAGATGGCATTATTACGTCATGGATGCACACATACAGCGGATTGGAGAACAAATGAATTGACACGTGTAACACTTAAAAAGATAATTGACGAAGGGGATGATCAGTTATTTGATTTTCATCAGGTAAATTATTTCACGTACGTGTAAAATGCAAATTAAAATAGTATTATTAATGTGTGTATCGCGCGTTTAACGACTATTGTTTACTCAAATAGCTAACCAAGGAATACCCTGAAATATTAACACCAGATAATATTTGGATACTTGGGATCACTCGGGAGCCATCTACTCGGGAATATTATTTAGTTTTCTACCACGACATACATGCATTATTGGACAGGTTTATACGAAATAGTGAACATGTAAAGTACATGCAGTATAGCGACTTTTACGAACTCAATGAGATCGGATCTGGTAGTTACAGAACAGTCTATACTGCTAAATATGAAAAGTATTTCGAAGAGCACATACCACAAACCGTTGTACTCAAACGGTTTAAGAGTTTTGATGAAATGCCGAAATTATTTATTTCCGAGGTAAGCAATTGTTGATGTTATTAATTAAAGTGATATTTAATCTGACTCTGTATTATTTTATTTAATAGTTCAGAAATCATGCCAAATGCATGAACAGTGATTATTCTCATTTCCTTCAAATTTATGGAGTCACACAAGACCCAGAAACAAAAGAGTACATGACCATTGTGCAATATGCTGACGATGGTAGTCTTTTGTCTTATTTGGATCAAAATATTAACAAATTGACGTGGATAGATAAATTATGGCATTTGAATAGTATTGCA